GCAGGAAAGACTGTGAGACTTCTATCTCCAATAAACTACCAGAAAACTGGAAGTGGAGCTGTAGCTCAAGTGGTAGTCTGCAGTAATAAAAGGTTTTTTTGTGTGTGTTTTTTTGTTTTTTTGTCAGTTCTGGGGCTTGAATTTGGGGCCGAGGTGCTGTCCTTGAGCCTCTTTATACTCCAAGGTTAGAGCTCTACCATTGAGCCATTTTTGAAGGGTTAATTGGTGATGAGTCTCACATGCCTTTCCTGCCTGGGATGGCTTTTAACTGTGATCTTCAGATCTCAGCCTTCTTGAGTGGTTAGGATTACAGGCGTGAGCCATTGCCACAGACTTTAAAACACTGTTAAACAGTCTATGGGCTTGATACTCAATCTGAATATAACTCAAAAACAAATGTTGAGGATTAGGGATATAGCTCAGTCAGTGGTAGAGGATTAGTCTAGAATGTAAGAAGCCCTGGGTTTGCTCATTAGTATTGCGAGAGGAAAAACAGGGGCTAGGAAGGTGGTTCAGTGGTAGAGTGCTTGCCTTGCATGCATGAGGCCCTGGGTTTAATTCCTCAGCACCACATAAGCAGAAAAAGCCAGAACTGGTGCTGTGGCTCAAGTGGTAGAGCTCTTGAGCTGAAGAGCTGTGGGACAACGCCCAGGTCCAGAGTTCAGGCATCATGACTGGCAAAAAAAAAAAAAAAAGGAAAAACAAAAGTGGGTATAAAGTAACTAAAAACTAAAAATGTAGAAAGTAAAACTTACCAAATTCATACTGGTATCTTCCTCCAGGGGAGGGGAAAATGGGTTAGAGAAACAAACACAAGGGCTTTAATCTATAATGTTCTATTGACTTTATATATATCACCTTATCAATCTACTGCTTCAGCAGAAAAGAAAAAACTCAAACTGTAACCCAGATGTCATTTTATGACTGAATCTTCACAAAAACATTCTTCAAGCCTGCCAACTGTTACTGTCAAGGCAATATGCAAAGTTTTTGTTCAATCAGGGGCATCTAACCAAAGAGATTCTTTCAAGTTCCCTTTCCATTATATTTAGACCTGCAGAAGTACATCTCTGGTTAACTTTCAGGCTTCTGGGGCCAGAATGGTCAGTTCTGTCTCTTACTTAGGACTGACTGGAAGAATATTTTTCTTGGGCTAGGAATGTGGCTTAGTTACGGTAGAGTGTTTGTCTAGCATGCATGAAGCCCTGGGTTTGATTCCTCAGTACCACATAAACAGAAAAAGCCATAAGTGCTAGCCTTGAGCCAAAGAAGCTCAGGGACAGTGCACAGGCCCTGAGTTCAAGCCTCAGCATTGGCAAAAATATGTATTTTTTTCTTTAAGTATTGGCTCAAAACAACTTCAGTATTTGTTTAAAAATAGAATTTCTAACTATTCCCTTGCTTTACTTTTCTATTTGTTGAGGGAGAAAAGAGTAGGTTATAATCAAATGTTTAATTGTTCAGGTGGAAAGCTGCAGTGATTAAAACAAATTACCCCTCTCTGCTTTTAAAGCTGGTAGGCAAATTGGTTACCTAGAAACACTGTCTTTCAACTAATAGTTCTGTCTGTATTTATCAAAGTCAACATATGTGAAACTGAGTGTTACATGTTATCCAGTTTTCCTAGGATTAGGATAGGTTCATAGAGGTTAATGTTCTTGGATTGTTATAGGCTAGTAGGTCCCAAAAGAGGCCACATCTAAAGGGAGGAAATACTGTAGGTGTTTTTGTTTTTCCTTTTTTAAAGAAACTGAAAACTGGTCTTAAGTGCCAGCTTAAAGCTTTTGTTGGATGCTAGTTAAATGCATTGAGTAGAATTGCATCAGTTTGTTTTTGCAGTGCTGGGGATGGAGCTGAGCCTGTGCATGCCAGTTAGTGTTCTATTGGAGCTAAATCCTCCAGCCTGAATTGCATCATTAAACGAAATGCGGTTAGCTTTGTCTCAAAACTGGAGACCCCAAGGCTACATCTTGTATTGCTGTGAGACAGTCTCCTAAGAGCAACAGAAAAACAAAAAACCCTTAGAAAACCTCTTCTTCTTTTTTTTTTTT